CCGATCCTCTGATGCTGTTATTGGTCGGGGAGAAGCCAACAAGAGCGTATAGAATAGAATAAAATTGAAAGGAAGAGATGAAAAGAAAGCAGAGAGGCTGTGGGGAGGGATAAAAGGAGAGATGTGTGCAGCAGACCACTCCTCAGGTTGTTAAGGGGGTACAACCCCCCCCCCCCCCCCCCCCCCCCTGAAAATTTTACGAACGTCCTGTCCCACGTCATGTGAATGGCTAACGGTGGAGGAAAGGCTGATGTCGTCAAGGGATATGTTGAATGGGCGATCCAGAACAACATTGGTGTTATAGATGTTAATATTCTTAAGCATCTCATTCCGTCGGAGGTGAGTGACAAGAGAAAAAGGAACAATATCAAAGCAAATTAGACAAGAAGGATGGAATCCTTGGATTATGATCTTGTAAAAAGAAAGAAAGGATCAGAAAAGATGAGAAGAGAAAAGAAAAAGAAACGCCAACGAAATATAGAAGCATCGTTTTCTGACACGGTTGGTTTTTACGTTGTGCTATAGAAATCAGTGAACTATCAAGACGAAGACCGCATGCGTATGCAAATGAGCGACCAGCTTGCTACGTACCTTTGGGAAAACTATATCGAGTGCGTATCTGCCCTGCTTTGCACTGGCATTCGCTCTCTTCTTACTTCGTGCAAGCTAATTAAATTTCCCATTCCCCGTTAAAACTCGGATACAACAGACCCAACGACGCCACAAGCATCTTCTTCCTCGGAGTGGGCAATGCGTACTTCGGCCTAGCAAACCTTCTGGTGACCACAGGTATGTTGCACATATATATTCATTCCATCCCCATCGATGACCAGATGCGCTAACCATTGGTTTGTGTCAACAGAGCGAGTCCACCAGCGCGTCAGTGGGGTCATCTCCTTCGTGGCCGAAAGCCCCGTCCGCGCCGTCTCAAGCAACACCACCACCTGGCTATCGAAGTGGTATAAAGAGGTATGTTTTTGCTCTTTGCATTTCTTGTTCCTTCTCTCCGCTGACCACTTGTTTGTTTCACTGCTAAACTGCTAACTACAAAACTAAATAACAGAACTCCCTCGTCTTCGTCTCGCACCTGCACGGCGTCTGGGCCGGGCCGGAGAACAGCCGTAAGCTCTCGAAGCGGTATGGTCGCCTCATCCCCTCCATGAATGTTGGGCTGAATGAGATGCTTAATGCACACAAGGAGGATGTGATTAAGTTTATAACGGATCGGCTGGAAGAGGATGAAGAGGACGATGAGGCCGGCGGGGACAGCTAGGACGGTAGTGAGTGAGTGATTGTTTCCTGTTAGGGTATTTTCAGTTTCCATCGCTTTCTTTTTCAGTTTAGGGTGTTGTTGTTGTTGAGTAATAAAGGACGAGAATGCGCTGTGATACGACGGCATTTTAAAGAAGCAGGTGAAAGTGGAGAGCAAATATACAAGTATTTGAAGCAGGGCACAAGAGAGCAAAGTGAGCGTCTTACGACATGAAAGATAGATGATGCATTATTGGCAGGCATGACAGATCACACTAATTAATGGAGGGGTTTTCTCACCTCCTTCACTTTTTAAAATAACGATGTTCTCATGCAACATAAAAGTTCTTTTTAGTGACTCTTACGAACCACAAAAGCGGAGGATATTGTAGCAGATTTGGCGCTCGGGAAGAGAAGAACAGAGAAAAGAAAAGGATAGAAAAAAAAAAAAAAAAAAAAAATCAACTTGACCAACTGACAACCCAGGTCGAGAAATCGAGATTCCAATCTGAACGCAGACGAAAAAGCTGGAAAGGAGTACTCAAACTCTCCCTGGCCCATCCAGGTGTCCACCCATTTATTCTCTTATTATAGGAACAATGACCGCAACTCCAGCCTTCTGGCTGCAGCTGCAGACTTAAACGGCGCGCCGAGGGTACACCATCAGGTGGATATAGAAGCAGAGAGTGTGCGCACGTATATCTGCAGGAATGGGGATGTGTGCATGGGGATGGCTAAGAGTACTGCATGTTTGGAGGGCAAAGCTGCGATAACGGGAAGGTGGTTGCGTGGAGGACGTGGAAAATGCACTTCGCATGAAAAGGGGGAAGAGAAATGTGTCTGGCTGGTGACTTGTCACAAGTGTAGAGGGAAGTAAGGGGGAGGAAAGGAGGGAATGCTAGGCTGACTCTGTGCACAGAAAAGAGCTCACTACCTCAAGATCCACTGAGTTGTGGTCCTGACAGATAACACCGATTGATGAAGGGGAGTGCTGTCAGTGTCATCATTGAATAGAAGCTCGCAATGTGTAGAGAAGGGAGAGGGTGTCAGGCTAACACTACACAGAGGACAGCCTTCTGTCTGAGATTCACCAAGGCGTTGTCCCGACAGACACCTTGACGGAGGCGACAGTCTAGGGTCCCGCCGGAGCCGTTGCTGAACAGTAGAGCTCTAGAGAAGTGAGCGGATGCTGAGTCAACACGACACAAAGGAAAGCTTTTTATCTCAGAGCCACCAAGTTGTGGCCCCGGCAGACAACCCCGACAAGTGAGTGAGGTGCTGCCGGGATCATCATTGGATAAGAGAGCTCCCAATGTGCGTTTGGAGGATGAGGGGATAGGGCTGCAGAGAGACAAGCGAGGGTGTTCGTGAGTGTCTCTAGTTTGTCCTATATCTCTAAAACACAAAAAGGGGCTTGTTGGATGGGGAAAAGAGGGAGAAATTGTTTGCCTCGGATTTTCATCCAGCTACAACTGCCATAACCAATGTAGTAGCAGGAAGTCTCGCCAGGACGTGCCTCTCTCTAGGAGATAGCCCGCTTTCTGCAGCGTCTTCAAGTGGCTATATTCGGATTTTGGTATCTCACCGTGGTTGCGGGGTGCTATGCGGGCGGAGGAAGAGGAAATATCCATTCGATATGTACTATCTATTTGGATAAAATCGTGTATGCCAACTGAAAGGCCTCAGACGTTCATCCGGCTCCAACTGCCCTAACCTTTGTTTGCGTAGTAACACGTAGTGGCAGGAAGTATCGCCAGGAAACGAGATAGAGGGATTTCTCTCGCTCTGTGGTGGATCTTCATGTATTTGGCTCTTCAGTGGATATGTCACAAATGCTCTTAGAGCATACCTGTGTCTGTTTTGGCGTTGTCAAGGGCTGAGCACTGAGGAGGGGAGCGGGGGCAGAGGAGCGACCATTTCCGATGAATGTATATACAACTGAACACCCAGGAAAGGGAAGGGGAGGGAAAAGATGGAATGGGAAGAGGAGAAAAAAACGAACCTTACTGCACCTAATCACCGCGAAATCTGCACACGGCAGAAACACGCTGATGTGAACAAAATAAGGGGA